ATATATATAATTCTTAATATATGTTAAATAAATTATTTAAAAGAGTATTAAACTCACCTTTATGTCTCGATCGAAAGCCCTAATCACGCACGAGCACCTTCTTCTTCCTCTTATTCCTCTTTAGTCACACCTGCCTCCCCCTTTCCTTCGCACCAAACGCTCGACGCCTCTTCCTTCGATTGGTTCGACTTTTCCTGCAATCAATCTTCCTTGTCCTCTCTTACTCGAAGCCACAAATGAGGCACACGAAATGCCCCGTTCCTCACTCCACACGTACAGGCAGCGTCGAAGCTGCTCCCGCAAGTCATCTCTTCTGGTTTTGACGCACTGCCTCTTCTCTTTCGCACTCTTCGGGCATGACATCGACTCCATGCGGCAAACCCTCTTCTTCTTCGATCAGCTAGGCATGAGGCTTCCTCCTTTCGCACCGTAGCAACAAGTCCTTCTGGCTCTTCTTTCTCTTTAATTGGCTAGGGGACCCGCCTCCTCTTCTTCATGATCTAATTCTCTCTCTCTCCCCCCGCCCTCACTTCTCTCTAACCACATTTAGGATTGTAACACGATAAATGTGACCTAGGTTAATAAAAAATTGGTGTAAGTCCCTTGGAATAGTGTTGTATCCTGATATTATTTTTTATAAGAACGAAAAATTCTTATTAACAAAAGATACAACTTTGGTTTTTTTTTTTTCAAATATATATATATATTTCCTCAAAAGTGTAAACTATATGATTTTTTCATAAATTTCCTAAAGCTTGACTTTCAAAAGGCCCTCCTCAAATCCTACATTAAATTGAGCTACATGAGGTAGGTATACCTGATGCTTGGCTTGCGCTATATGACACATTGTCACATTAAAATTCAAAATTTACATTCATAATACATGGAAAAGGATTTAGGTAAAATCAGTTGTCCATACAACAGAGAGAGAAACTTGCAAATCTCATATGATATATCCTTGAAACTTGATCCTTAGAAGTTCTCATATTGTGGATCAAGATCAAGTTTATTTTGAATTTGGGCGTGCTAAGATTAATTTCTTTCATAAAACGTGTTATGGTGATCTTGAATTTGGACAAGCAAGAGCAATAGATTCATGGTGAAAAAAATTAATTTGCCTTACATAGACATGCCTGAGCAAAGTGTGATCTCAAATAAAGAAAATATGTATCATCATCAATTCTCAGAAGTGCTCTAAAATGCGTCAGGTGATTGCCACATCTAACAAAACATGGAGCCAAGACAACACTATGTCATTGAAAAACCTTCAACTTATAATATTTAGCTTTCTTTATCTTGCCATCCTAGTTCATTCTTAAGTTATAGAACTAGTGTATATGCCACAAATGAAAGAAAAGACGTACACTAGCAAAAAAAATTATAAAAAAAACCGTCAAAATGTTAAGCTTCAAATTACAAGCTATATGATCAATATTCATGTGCTTATAACAGCTATAAGTATATATTAGTTGACAAAAAATTAACTCGGCCGGGAAGCAAAAGAAAATTATGATCAAAATCAACTTATTAGTTCAATAAAAAGCCAAATGTTTGAAGAAAGTAATCAATATAAAAAATAATCTAAGAAAAATAAAAAATTGTGGCTATTTGGTTCAATACTATATCCATATAAATCTGAATCTATAGACTAACCTTCTCAAAAACTATAGCATGCCACTATGAATAAGAAAATCTGCAACAGCCATTAGTTCTACCAATGCATCCTAATCCTAATGAAAACAATTTCCAAGATTAAACTTAGTCTTAATTCAAGCAATTAGACTTCACTCGGATGCCCTTTCTTTTAGAACCCTAACTACCATTTTACTTTGTTCATAATCAGTTAAAGTGATTAACTACCATTTAAATATGATTGGCAGCAGGCTTGTTTTAAATAATACCTAAGAAAATGAAGTCAACTAATTTTATTAGCGGTTGATTGGTGACAAGATGTAGCAAGAATGGCTACAAGTAAATTGTAAGTAGCATTTATCGGTGACTAATTATTATTCGATAACTAAACTTAGAAGATTGAATATATCTAGGAACTAGTTAAATATAGTCTGTAGTCAATTGATCATGGTTACAAGTCGACAATAATTAGAAGCAAAAATGTAGATAGAAGAAAACAAGCCAAAGCTAGTAACTAATTAATTACAATTATTATAATAAGTATGTGCAGACTAGCTTAGTTGGTAAAAATCATAAAAGTTGTTGCCAAGCACCTAAGTCCAAATTTTATCGACATCAAATTTCTGCCTTAGCACTCACCATTCCCAAAGAATATTACTAATCGTCTCTAATTAGCACTTTTAATTTAGATCAAGTTCAACAAAAAGTAAATAGTATCGCTGATTAAAAAAGTATTGGGTCTTTCACGTGCCAAAAATTAATGTTCCTACTTTCATTCTAATCCTTGGGATTAACAAAAACTTAGTGGATAAGAAGCCAGAGTTAACTTTATCTAATCCCAAACCAAACAGCACAACAAAAATAATAATAAATCAAAAAAATTAGATGAAAGAATTATGAAAGGAAATTACCATATGAGCAGGTTTATTTACAACAAGAACATGTTCATCTTCAAAGACTATATTCAAAGGAATCTCCTCTGGTTCTGCCTTTAATGGTTCCAACTGGCAAACCGTGCAACTAACTTTGTCCCCTCCTTTTATAATATGTGAAACCTGTAATACACAGTTTTTCATGAATTTAAACTAAACCAACCAAAGTAATAAGAAAAAGGTCCACGTTGCACGACCCGGCCTCAATGCGGGAAGAATGGTCGAACAATGAAATTTAAAAGGTGGACCATTTCTTAATTTGTGTGGCATCCCTGCACAGGGTCATGCTAGTCTTCTTCGTATCATTTTAACTTTATCGGATGTCTTTGAAATTTTCCGACTGTCCGTTCCCGCTTTAGAAATTCCCATCGTGACATAGGAGATCTCTTCAAACATAACTAGGTAACCTAAACAATCAATTTGTCAATGGAACAAAGGTAGCTAGCTCAAGGGAGCTCGCAAGAGTAAACGGACGACAAATCTCAACATGTCCACAAAAAAGAATCGTGAAACTTCAAATGGAACAAATTAGGAACATCAAGACGTGCATCTCGAGACTACTGTACGGGTGTTTTTGTATCCATCAAAGATTTCGAGTTCCTGAACTAAATAAAGCAAAGCAACGAACACTGCAACTGTTGGTGGGAGCCCACGTCACCTTTTCTATGATGCGGCCGTTGACAGTCACGAGACCGGAGCGGATGCTATGCTGCACTCGAGCTCGGCTTATGCCTGGAATCCGCGAGGAGATCCAGGAGTCGACCCTTGTTTTCTCGAAGCCAAGCTCCACCGTCTCAGACAGTCGAATCCCACTGTAGTTGCCTCCGACCTGTGGCGGAGGTCGCTCTGGGATCGAACTACGACTTGCAGAAGAGGAGAAAAAGACAGTTGAAACCCTAGATTTTGAGTTTCGGCGTATCAGCCAGCCCGAGGTGGAGATTGAAGAGATGCTGGCGCCAGCCATTCGAAACGTGACCAATCTGCACCTCGAGGATACAAATTAGCGGCGATAC